GCTGTTTGTCATGGTGGATCGATTTGATCCATGATCGACATTAAGGGCTGCTTAAGATTAAGCGTCCACAAATTAGTTAGATTGTGTGAACTTACATTGTCGTTTATGGAACTGCTTTAGCCCCGATTGATTTGTTAGGTTATTTCAAGTCAGATTTTGGACTTTAATCCCCGCTTTTCCTCAGGTCTCTGTAGTGGTGTTGTGATGCGTCATATTCATGCAGCAGCAACGGTGATGAGAGAGCGCGCTTGAGAAACAGTTTTTCACGAGGAGAAATCAATCTACATATAAAATATTGGTCACAGATTATTGGTCACTTTCTAAACAATAAAAGTGTAGCTATCCACTAGTAATTATATATAAATAAATCGTTTTTTACCGATGCAAATATGTTAGAAACGATGTATCGCGATACAAATGCCAACTTGTATCTGATGCACACTTTTTAAACCGATGCATCGCATCGTTAACTTTTTTTGCCGATGCACCGAGCATGTCCGAAATTTTATTTTATATATATATATAATTAATTAATTAATTTATTTTTTTATTTTTTATTGTTTTGTGAAATTAAATAATTGTCTTTGTTGAAAATTGTTATGACAAACAAGAGTTTGTCAAATATATACACTACCATTCAAAAGTTTGGGGCTGGCAAGATTTTTTAATGTTTTTAGAAAAGCCTCTTGTACTTACCAAAGCTGCATTTATGTGAGTGGAAAAAATACAGTGAAACAGTAGTTTTGAGAAATATTATTACAATTTTAGTGTTTTTATTGTAATATATTTTAAAATATAATTTATTGCTATGATGTCAAAGCTGACTTTTCAGCAGCCATTGCTCAGGTTCAGTGTCACATGATCTGGTGCGATTTGGTGCTCAAAATCATTTCCAATTATCATCAATGTTGAAAACAGTTGTGCTGCTTAATATAATATTTTTGTGGAAACATGATTTTATTTTTTTAAGATTCTTTGATGAATAGAAAGTTCAAAAGAACAGCACTGATTTGAAATTAATTGACATTTTTGTAGCATTATAAATGTCTTTTTGTCACTTTTGCTGAAATAAACATGTCCTTGCTGAATAATATTAATCTCTTAAAACAATCTTACTGACCCCAAACTTTTGAACGGAAATATAATGCATCTAAAAGAGATTAAACTGGTCAGCATTTAAATTTTTTGCAGTATTTGATGTGTAGAGCTGTGGAGAGCATATTTGAGACATTACCTTTTGTTGCTTGTTATTGACTGTGTATTAATGAATCAGTTTTAGATTTAGCATTGAGGCCAGTTGTGAGAGAGATGGAGTTACGCACCGGCTCCAACACCAGCACCATTTTGGTGGAAAAGTGCAGATATGTACTGTATGTATCAATATACATAATCAATAAGTGAATCATGTGGAACAAGTGCAATAAGGATCAATAAGTGAATCATGTGGAACATTCCTCATCAAAATTCATATCACATTCTCTGCCTTGGCAAACTGTCGTGTATTTTAATGGTTAGTCAGACATTTGTATGACATCTGTAGATTTCTTTCAAGGAAGAACTCCTTGGTTAAATCAGATACAGGCCATAAGTGCCACCTGTTCTCACCACCTGTTAGAATCTAGTAGTGAAAGATTTCTTGAAGACATCTAAGTGTAACATGTTCTTTCTAGCCTCAGTGTAAGGAAATACTTGCCAACTTTTTCAGATCCACCTTAACCACTACTCTCACAGATATGGCACGTGTTTACAATTGGGATGTCAAGAGAAGGAGCAAAGACAACCTCCTCAAATCTGCAGAGCGGTCCTAGAAGAGGAGGCCTAGTTTGGTCCCACCCCACCTGAATTCCTTTCCCATCAGAAAATTCACCCCATGTATCTGTTTGCACCAACACCAACTGTTACCTATTGATTTATTACTTTTTAAAGTATTTTTTCAAGTAAAAAGGTGAAAAACATCAAACAAAAGTAATAATGGTAGTTTTCTTTTTTTATGATGAATTATTAGCTGTTTCAGAGGGGGCCTCTCCACAGGGTCAACACATTTGTCTTCCTCTGTGCTCTTTTTCCTCTCATTTGTTGTTTGGGAAACATCTGAAATTTCAGTTCTGTTCAAGCAAAACTGTTTAAACTACTATTATTGGCCTCAAATTTCTTTCTGTGGAATTTTTCTTGCCAAATCTTGGTAAGATCATTGTCAATGCAGCGTGCAGCATATCAGGGGAACATCCTGTGTCATTTATCAGCCTCCTTTCTCCTTTACTTCCCTTTTCTTCACTCTTCCTTATCTAATGTCAGTTTTTTCATCTCTTGTCCTTCATCTGTACTTATTTGTCACATTGTAGCCATTAAACACTGAACAAGGAACTCATAATGAAGCAATTTGGGAAAAGGCACAAAATCGATGAGATGGTCTGTGTTTTTAATCTGCGTAGCTTTTTATAATTCCTCGTCTGATTGAGGTTCTGGCAGTGAGTGAGATGAATAAGCTTTGATGAATCCAACTAATTAAATATGTGCCTGCAGTTCCATCCATTTCTTTCGATCTTTGACAATCACTTGTGCACTACTGAAACTAATGTTGTCTTGATCTTCTATTGCCTTTCAATTATATTCTTTTGGAGCAGCACAACTGCTGTACTGATAATATCATCATTGAACTGTAAAACGACCCTCAATTCCAACAGGTCAAGGGTGGAATGTTAATCAAGTTATAATATTCAACCAGAACATTTTTAACATGTTACTTTAATCTGTAGTACGTTTCATGTTCCCTTGATAAAGAGGTACAGAGTGTCTCAAATTCACTGAAACTGAATCAGTAGTGTTTGTACAGCCAGTCCTTGCAAATCCACATCAGCCACAAAAAGCTTATAGAGCGAGCAAGTGGTCAACCAATCCAAAATCCTCGGGTTCTTTCCTGAGACCCTGTCTCAGCCATGTTTTAAAAGGCTTCATGCTATCCAATAATGTGAAAGGTTAACTACTCAGCCAGTTGTGCACTGTTATGGACTGTATCGACACATCTTCTCCGATTTAATTTGAGAAAGCGGCTATGGATATATTTCGTAGGGGTGAGAGTGAAAGTGAAGAGCAAGTCATTTCAAAAAGTAAAGATGTTATAGATGAATAAAGTAAGGATTAAATACATGGCGATACAAGCTCTATAGATACAGATGTCTTATGTGAATGTGTACAAGGTCAATGGCCCTCACTGGGCAGTTAGAAACCCTATAGGAAGAGCTTGCTTTTTCACATTAGATAGTACAATCGCAGGCTGTAACACTCAGAAACAGTCTTTGGGATAAAAGGTGTAAAAGATGTACATAAGTACAACAGATTAAGGTTTCTTTGTAATTCTGGTGAGCACCAGAGGCCTCTTGTGGCAATGTGTGATAAGTGAAATGTTAATATTTGTAAAATAATGCATACATTTATTAATCCATCTGGGGTTCATGGATGTGCTTTCAGTAGTCCCTTATGAATCTTTGCATTAGATCATAAAAATGAACCTCCTTGGTGATATGATGGATTATCATACCATGTGTCATGCCTATCTCACACCATTTCAATTACAATTGAAAATCTTTTTTCAATTTTTTGTTCATATGGGAATCATTACAGATCATGTGTTTTTCCAGTCTTGGAATTCTTCATGTAGTATATTGCAGTATATCTCCTTCCCTTTGTCTTTCATTTTACTAAAAATAATCAGACACACCTTCAGCAATCAAAATTCTGACATTTTTGAGTCAACAGAAATGTGTATCCCAGCGTTGAAGTCAGCAAGTAAAACTTGTGTTAGTCCGTTATCTCTCTCATGATACAACCAATAGAAGATACTTGGAACAAGCTTATTCCCGATATTGGAGACGTCCAAAGCCAGAACATCTTTATTTGGGAAGTCAAACTTTTGTGGCTCAATAGAATGAATGACAGATTCATTCTACAGAATGTGCAGATATAGTTTTGACTGGCCTTTCAGCAGGAGTTCTGCAATAGTTTTTTTTTTTTACTAAGCTTTTATTCTTATCAGTTCAATTTGGCTATTTACAAGATTGTGTGATTAGGAAAATGAGCAAAGTAGTATAGAAAAGTGAAGCAATATGGTATGGTGGGACTCGTTTAGGCAATCAGCAGGCAGGAAAGGGGTGATGTCATAATCAGGGAGTTGAAGACTGACCCTGTGATTGGAGGAAGCATTTCTTTTGTGCACCAGCGCCCAAATGTTTGATAGGTACCAGGGTGGCGATTACAGACTCAACAGAAACACCGCCGATCGCCCTTTGTCACTTCTTCTGACGAATGCACCACGTTTGGTACGAATCCACTCTTCACTCCCTCCCAACCCTCCTGGATGGTAATCTCCCCACTCTTCACCAGCTCGAATATATCCCGTGTTAGCTCTGTAAAAGCCCTCTCCACGTTTATGGCGTCGCGTGCTGAAGTCTCCACGTAGCGCATGCCGTACGCAGCCGCTAGCTTCTCGGCCTCTTGCCGGCTCACCTGACGCTGTGGTTCCAGATCACATTTGTGACCGACCAGCAAGAAGACAATGCTGTGGGGCTGCACGTGGCTGCGTGCCTCCTCTAGCCACTCGTGAACGTTCTGGAAGGAGCGACGGTTGGTTATATCGAAGAGCAGCAGACCTCCCACTGAGTTACGATAATAGGCTCTGGTAATAGACCTGAAGAAGGCATAAAAAAAAAAGAAATAATGTTCCTGAATTTGAATTGACAGTATACAGAATGCAATATTGCAATTCAATTTTGAATGTGAGAAAGTAGCATTTATGTCGGCATGAAATTTATTTTCTAAATGAATGTTATTGAACTGATTGTGAACGATACATCCATGTATATGTGTAAATTTTTTTAAAAATTTTTAATCAAATTGTCATAACTCGATCTTTCAACAGATTTGTTGGACATGTGCTGGACTTGTCCATCATTTTGTCAGCATTAAACTCACAACTTTCCTAGAATTGACTGCAAGTTCAGATCTGCCTCCATCCAATCAACAACAGATGGATTTAACAAAGACCATGTCCTAATTTTTATTTATTTTTTTCAATAATTTCACTTGGATATACATTACATTCTAGAAGAAAAAATCTGTCACTCCTTGCGTTACATTGTAACTTTAAAATGAATTGAAATAAACTAATTTTAACTAGAAATGCAAATATTATGATGGCTTCGTAAAGCCTTGTCTGACAAGAAATAAATAAATAAAAGACTTTTACAGCTGATGATAGATAGATAGTATATTTGATAGTGTTGAGAAAAAAAGTGATCAAATTATGTGTTTATCAAAAATGCAGTGTGGATGTACAACAGAATCTGTCCTGTAAAACTAGTAAGGCATTTGTGTGTACAGGAAAGGAGAAAACAGGAAATGTAAAACTGCAACAGGAGGCAGAGATGAAAACAAGGTAGACGAAAAATGTCTAAAAAGGCATCAGAGTGAGACTGTAAAAAAGGTCTGAGCTTGTGTAGGTGTACTGCTGGGAACGCACTGAGCTGTGAAGGATGCCTAAGGGCCTCTGGAGTTACTGACATCACTTTTAAGTCAGACATTTGTGACATTGTAGATGGCAGTGCTTCACCAATATTTCTGTTTCCTGTAAGAGTTCTGCAGAATCTTTTGTTGGTAAAGAGACCTTTGAGCTGCTTTCATTAGTAAATAAATATAGACAGTACATCTGAATCAACTAGGGTGAAAAAAATCAGTGAATCAGTGACGTGTGAATCAGTCTGTCATCAAGTCTGGGAGAAATACATCAGCATGGGTACCATGGAAACACCAATCACGTGGATGGATAAGGACTCCTGATCAGATAAGCTTGATGATTTAACTTAATAAGGTGGAGGTTTCTTCACCTAAGCAACTATTTTACACTGTACAATCAATAGTTAATTATGTAAAATAATGTGCCAATCAGCATAAAAATCTTTCTGAGCTAATAAACAGTGATATTATTTACATAGACATACATCTTTATAGAATTGGGGGTCTATAAGATTTACATTTTTTGAGGTAAACCACTTAAACAACTCTATATGAAATGTATTCATCCACCCTATGAACAATCAATACATTATTGGACAGTCATTTACAGTGATACAGAATCATGAGAAAGGTCTAATGTAACATAATCCAAGATAAAGATTTACAATACCTGAAGCGTTCCTGTCCTGCTGTGTCCCAAATCTGCAGTTTAATGCGTTTCCCAGGTTCGATCTCCACCAGGCGGGAGAAAAAATCCACCCCTACCGTCGGGTCTGACACCTGTGCGAAGCGGCCTTCTGTGAAACGTCTAATTAAACACGATTTTCCAACAGTGGAGTCCCCAATAACAATCAGTCGAAATTGGTAAAGCCAAATTGCCTCCATGTTTACTCAGGTCTGTCAAAGCAAAAAGAGAAGTGAATTAGATGCTGCCATGATTTCCAACAGAAAAAAAGACATTCATTATTTTATTCACCCATATTTTATGTCAGCCTGCTTTAAGAGTTTACTAAAAGGAGAAAATAGAGCAAATTTCTCTTTAAAATGTTTGTAACCTTATGAGGATATGTTGTGGTTATCTCTGCCCTTGCTTTCTGTGGGAAGGTAGTTGAGGCACAAAATAATCCTTTCAGAGTTTGATTTTAAGGCCTGCATCAGTTATGATTGTTCATCCATCACTAAAGTTCAGCTTAAGATTTGAAATTTTTGTAAAATATAGCAAATATATATAGCCAATTCTATATAATGGCCATAGTATTTTAGGATGAACTCAATGCTGTTTTTCCATAATGGAAGAATATACATAATTTGTTTTAATGCAATATATGTTTATAAGTTCTTAGTCAAGTGCAGGTTACTGAATGCAATCACTCAGTTAACATGTTAGCAGTTAACAGTTAACATGACCTACTGACAGTATGTGATGCCTGTTAGATTACTGAGATTTCACTGAGGCTCGCCTGATAGCTGGACAGTAGCTGGCTATCGTTGGCCTTGTCATAATAACGATTAGCCTATATGTTCTATACCATATAAAACAGACAACTGTTAAACAAGCGTTGTCTTTGTATAGAAGCATCTGTGTAAAGGATTCCTTATTCGGTGCTCTACTTACGTTTTTTGTTTGGTCGGTTCAAAGCTACCAAACGGCAGATTCCATAATCTTTAAAGGATTGAAGCCTCTTTAGAAACCGCTGGATGAAATGACGGACATAAACTATTCACGTAACATAGCGAATAATAAACAAAACATTCGTCTCTACATAAAAAAAAAAAAAACAGATGCAAACCAAACTGTGCCGTGTAGGCGGTCTATTTTGCTTAGATGTTGCTAAAGATGAGTCGGCGTGTTGTTGAAATGATCCCTGCCTGGATCAAAGTCGCGTAAAAGTCAAAGATGATTTACATCTGTCATGTTTTGATTCACGCTTGGAAGATGGAGAAATGTTTGGATGTTTTGTGCTGATGAAATGGAAGCGACAGCAGAAGCATCATATAGCCTGACTCATCCCGCATCAGCACCAGTACCACAATCCTCCTAATAGCAGCCACGGGAAAATGCGTACCATAGCCCAGGGGCGCCTTCGGATAGCCTAACCAGAGGCCCCTGGGCTACAGCATTACGGAAGGCCCCCCTACCCTAGATATATATTTATATATATATATATTTTTTTAAACTTTTTTTTTTTAGCTTCCTGACAATTATTTATGTTGAATTTAGAATTTTTCTTGTTGACATGCCAGATAAAATTTACAACACTGTTCTGCTTAAAATATGAATATAAGTGAATACGCAAATTGACTCTTTGCCAGTATAACATAAAGTAAACACTACTTTATTACAGGCATTATACGGAGGTAATATGAAAAAGTGGTTGTTAACTGAGTTTTTATTTTGAAACATGCCATGCTCGCGTTTAATTAATTAAATCATAGCATAAAGTAGCCTACACAGAATTATAGCGCTCGTGCTAGGCTTCTTTCACTAGCGCATTGTGCATTCCACTCACAGTAAATTGATTAAACAATTCAACTATACAAGCAGGGCGTCGCTGAAAATGAGTGTGTGAGTTTGTTTACAGAATGCTTGTCACTGCTGCAAATTCCCATATACACAAATAATTATTCGAAAAATATCATTTGCTGCCAGTAGCCAAGTGCAGGCCCCTGCGTTATGCACCCCTGCCATATCCCCCATAGACATTCAACATTTTAATGCCTACTTTCCTTGACTCACTTATGTTGTTTTATACATCATTTTATGATTATCTCTTGGAACATATAGATTTTTTAAACTTTCATTTTTATAGCCTGTATTTTTAAGTAGATCGATATAGGGTTTGAATTAGCCTAAACTTCCTAGATTTGATTGTTTAACCACATCCTTGCTTTTAATTGAAAAGAAAACTGTCCCACTTTTCCTGTTGATCTATACAACTTCTAAAAAAAACATCTAAAACGAGTCTTTCAGTATTACATTGAAATGATTTTAAATATTGTTTTGATAAATTTGCATTTAGGGCGGTTGAAACATCACAAAAAGTAAGCTAAGCCTATCTACTCCGTTTTGAGTCTACTATCTTCCTTTAGGTTTAATTCACTGATAACGTTTAAATGTCTTTCTTGTGCGCCATCTATTTCAAGTTTTACGAGCAGAAGAACCAGATGACCAGTATGACGGGAAATGTAGTTTATAGGTGATTCTCGATAGCCTACTAAACGCTGGACCAAAGTCTTCTCATAGTACTAAAGTTTAGTTAGGCACACTGTGATGGGCTTCTTGAACAGATCAGCAATACTGGATATTTGGCTTGAAAGACTCGACACTCCGCACGTACGCTACGAAAAGTTGTCGACAGGCAAATAAAGTGCGAAACTTCTCACCTCTCGAAGAAACGCTTTTTAGACAGCTGTAAGGCGCGCGTCCTTCAGCGAAACGCAGTGAATTTTTTGTTTGTTTGTTTATAATTTTACGATCTACAAAAACCTAGATGTGGAGAGTTAGAGTACTCCGACCAACACGACTTTAATTTTACGTAAATAATAATAATAAAAAAGCTTTCTTTCTTTTGGACAAAAATTGTCATGTAGCTAGTTTAGACCGCTGAAATGCAGCAGGAGCGGCTACTCAAAGTCCTTGTCATTGGAGATTTGGGTGTGGGGAAGACTTCCATCATAAAGCGATATGTGCATCAGGTTTTTTCTCAACATTACCGCGCGACTATCGGTGTTGATTTTGCTCTAAAAGTCCTGAATTGGGATCACCAGACAGTTATTCGACTGCAGATGTGGGACATTGCAGGTCAGTTACTGAAGTTATGTATAGTTCTTTGTCTTTGCCTGCAGTGTTAATGATTGTCACTATACTTTATCTAAAAAGTCAATAGGCCTGTGTAAATAAATGAGCATATAGTTGAGAGGAGCCTTCAAGCGATATGGCATGCCATACCGCGTCAAAAACTATTCTACACAACATTTTCTGATTGTTGTATAGGCTACTTATATTATCCATGCCATTTTGGACCTCAAACTCAAACTAAAAGATCATGCCCGTGTTATCTGTCAGCTATACATTTATACATAAAAGGCAGCTATTTCAGTCAGTTAAGTGTAATTGCTTGTCTTAAATATAAAAGCAAAGTAAAAATCTGCAGTGATTAGTTCATTGTAGAATTTAATAATACACTTTGACTTTATATGTACAGATGAAGAAAATTGAGCAAAACTCACAAAATACAGTAGAAATTAAGTTTTGTGACACGTTAAATTGATGGAACCAAAACTGTTTAGATAAAAAGATGAATTTTTTTTCACAGTGTTTACAAAAAGAATATGATGTCAAAGAAGTTTCAGCCCTTTAACATTCAGTTTCCAAGCACTCTTTTATTGACCATTCACAGTGAAAATGCACCACATAATACTTATTCAGACAGTATACAGAAAGACAGAAAGAGATAAATAACATTACTAGAGTAATGCTTTAACACTTGGCTTGAACAATGTCAATACATACAGTACATAACATGCCTTGTTTGAGATTTTCCTGCTCTCAGCTGGAGTATGTGACCTCACAGTATGAATCCCTCTCTGTGTTTATACTCAGAATAAACTGAAGCACAGGGTCAGGAATGTGTGTCTCATGTTTATATTCACTGGTCTCGTGCTTGTATTGGTCTCATGTGAAGGTCCTCACATCACCTACTGGTGGAAAACACTAAAAACACTTTACCTCACTCTCAGGCACACAAAGTCACACCAGCTCCAGGACAAAACATTCCCACAGTACATTTAATTCAACATGGCTGACAGATTGGAAAACTCAGTCATGTTTACATAACTCTAAAAACTAGAGATATGTTTTTTTTAGGTTAAAGATAACAAAAATAATGTTAAATTCACAAAAACTGATAAAATTTAAATAAATGTTTCTGTCAGCATAGTTATTGACTGTAAAATTGAAAGAGTATCTGGATGAGTGCATGACAGTCATCCCTAATTGAACACAGCAGTTTTATGACCTCACACAAGACCTCATACAAATCAAACTTCAAGGTACTCCACTGTGAACCCTGAATATTAGCTGTGAAAATCTCATTGGCCTCAGTTCGCCTTCATTTTTAACATGATAATGCATTAATACAGCTTAGGTACATTTAATATCTTCCTCAAAAGAATGGTTCTCATTGTAAAGCCTTGCCAATCCATTCATGTTCACAATCTTTTTCTATGTGGTGCTATGAAATCAGGATTAAAATGTATGTAACTTCAATGATGCAAGAGTTGGAAACAATGTGATGCTGTAGGTAAACATTGGAGCTAGTGCACTGTGGATTGTGTCATAAAGAAATGTAAAAGTTCCCAGACTATAGCTACAAAGAACCTTTATTGACATAATATTGTATGATTCGATTCTGTTCCATTCAATTCGATTCAAGATATATTCAGTTAAGCAGACATAATAAACATGTTGTTTATGATTACAGTTTGTGTTTGTAATTATTACAGTATAGGGATGTATGTATGATATGTAGGGATAATATATGTATACTGCTGAAAATTTGTGTAGAAAAATACTATACCGTCATCACATCACTATAGGCATCCCACCAGCATGATTGGGCACAGTTAGTTAACTGTTTCCAATTGTGAACAGGCCAAATTGTGAACCGTGTTCAAATGGAAATGCATCTGTCTGCTCTGACAGATTTTATAAAAAAAGAAAAAAAAAAGAAATTAAAACTTAAACCCATAAATTAATATTTGCTGAAAATATACTCACCCTCAGGCCATCCAAGATGTAGATGGGGTTGTCTCTTCATAGGAACAGATTTTGCTCACCAATGGATCCTCTGTAGTGAACGGATGCCTTCAGAAAGCAAGTTCAAACAGCTGATAAAAACATCACAAGAATACACAAGTAATCCACACAGCTCCAGTCCATCAATTAACATTTTTTAATTTCAAAATGTTCCTTCGGACCTCTATGCATAATTTTGCTTTCTCCAGTGAAAAAAACATCTTGTCTAAATCAAGAGAAAAATGTGCACTTATCAAGCACCATATATACCGTTACAAGTGAAAATAGTTCTAAATAAATATGTCGGTGGATTTGTTGAGAGGACAACAGGGGATAGACTTTTTTACTAGAGGATAATAGACTTGTATTTTTGCCAGAAGCGGCAGTTTAAAGTTAAAACGCCTTGATAAATGAGTTTCTTACAAACATGCCGTTTTTCACTTTACAAGACATTAATTAATGGACTGGAGTCTTGTGGATTATTGTGATGTTTTTATCAGCTGTTTGAACGCTCATTATGACGGCATCCTTTTACTGCAGCGTATCCATTAATGAGCAAGTGATGTAATGCTAAAATGCAACATTCATCTACATCAGGGTTCCTCAAATCTTGCCCACCCTTACGAAAAAGAAGTTTATTCAAGTGTGCTATTAGTATTAAAAGTACTAAGGTGACTTGACTTGACTATTAAAAAGATTTGAAGTTGTGTGTCCACATTATGTATAAACCCTGTTACCATCATAAATCCCCTTTATTAAAAGGATGTGCAATGAACAACTGAGGCATGGTTTCATTATGTTCAAATGAAGGCTGAAGATGCTCTATGATTTTGAGAGGTAATTGCAAATCGTTTGGAACAACATGGGGGTGAGCTGCACGGTCTAATGATAGAGAGAGAGAGAGCATATCTAACGCCTGAAGAAGTGCTGTATTTCCAGTCTTAGGCAATAATTGTAGGTCTGAGAGCATCCTCAGCGAATGTGTATCGATCGCTTCACAGGTATGGTTTAGTTGTTGCGGGGCAAACATGAGTAGGGGAGCGATGAGGATATTTGCTCCTTCGACACTCCAGCAGAAGGATGCGATAGTGTCACGGCGCGTTGTCGTTAATGATCAAAGGGAATTCCGTAAAAGTGCTTTGGACAGCAAACTGTTACCGGCTTTCGTGCCAACCGAAAGGTTAACGACTGTCGGGACCAAATCACCTTTGAAAA